GACCATTTCCAAAAATGGAAAAATGTGAGTGGGGCCATTGTGTTTGATTCAGCACGAGTGATATCTCAGCAAATAGAAAAGATAAGAGGTTCTTATTTTATATTCTAGCTTGTCAATATCGCTAATCTGAGTTCCTAATTCATACAAAACTAATTTGAACCAGTGCTGCATTCAACATACAAAAATCGATGTTTAACCGTGTTTTTTAATATTTACTTTTAAATTAAGAAATTAAATAATGTATAATACTAAAATTTGAATTATAATCTACAGTTTGATACCAAACTTACTGACATAAATTCATGAAATAGTAGTTCAATAAAATTTTGAATGCGAGTCAACAAATGTAATGACATTGTCTTTGACCCTTGACCCATCTGGAGAGGGTTAATTGTATATTTTTGAGACATTTTTACACACTGTTCAAAGGTCTCATCTATAATTAAAATGCTCCAAAAATCAACATCTTTAACTGCATGATTTAAAAACAATGGTTGTTTGAGTGTTTTAATTATATAGTTACATAAGAACCTTGAATTTTTCACATCAGTCTAGAAATCAATAATCAGCAACACATATATAATATTCAGTATGGAAGCATGTCCAAGTTCAATTAACAAACAATCCCACATCCCTTGATTCATAAACTGCAGTGCAAAACTTTACATATCAGGTCCAACTAATTAAAAGATAAAACACTAAAATTTTCCAAACTGTATATTTCTATTAATGACAATTAATACCTTTAGATCCCTGTATATAATTCCTTGAGTATGGAGGTAGTGCAAGGCTAGTAAAACTTCCCCACCATAAAAACGAGTCCTTTCTTCACTAAAAATCCGTTCTCTAGAGAGATGGAAAAAAAGCTCTCCCCCATTTACATACTCCATCACAAGACACAACCGATCAGCTGTCTGGAATGAATACTTAAGAGACTGTAAGAAAGAAAGCATTATATAATTATTACAAATTAATTTTGAAGTTTTAATCATTAATAATAAAACACATTTAGCACATTTACAAATGCCAAATTATGTTCTCCTGAATTTATGAGTTTACGTAGATTAGAAAAATTGTAAGCGACAATGTTTTCCAAGATATACAACTACTCAACTGAATAATTATCAATAGTGTGTATAAAAATATCTGGAATAATATTTTAAATAAATACTACTTTATAATTTTGTGTGTTAACTGATGTTTTAACAGATTAAACAACCACTAACTTTCTTTAAATTTAAAAACAATAACAAAAAATACGGAGTTTATTTAAATCATATTATTGTTAGTATTACTATTATTATTTTTAAGAGTTAAAAAAACAGATAATGGGAAGTCGATTAAAAACCCAACAAAGTAGTAAGAATTAATACTACACCATTAAAAAATACCAACTAGAAAAAGGAATAAATTTACTTACAATTAAAAAGGGATGGTTTGTGTTTCTTAAAACTCTATTTTCTGTCAACGTATGAGCTACTTCATCCTATTGAAACAGAATATAAAAATGTAAACTTTTATCAAAATATCTAATAACATTATTGTTTGAAAAATAAAATCTTTTAAAAAGCAAAACCTGCAAACTATTACACAAATAATGTACTTTGAAAACCAAGTATGTATTCAAATCTTAGGAAATTAAGAAAAACATCAATATCCTTATTACTGTTTACATGGATGCCTAATGTGAATTTTATTTTTTCAGCATTAAATTATTTACTTTGCAAATTAACTTTATAATTACAGAAAAGATCCATATGGGCCTTAATGCCTTTTTAAACATACCTTTTCAATTTATGCAACAAATTGACTTCAGTGCTATGAGATCATTAACAACATATTACACAAACCGTGCAATCAATTCAACTATGCAAGTTCACAGAAAATGAGTGATCACACCTAATTGTTTTTGTCCAGTTCTTTACACTGAGTGTTTTAAGTGGTAAAAACATGAGATTCCTCAATCACTGGTAGTGAATGGTATAAAAATGAATCTGTAATTTTAGGAATAAGGTATTTATAATAGGTAAAAATCATAATACTAATTTGGAAATGAAAAATAATAAAATACAGCCTACGATTTTTTTTACTTATATGCAAGAGAATTTTAAGTAGGCAAATAATTAATTATCAAAGTACTTAATATTACGTTTCCAAAGGTGCACCATCGATATTACCTCAGTTATCTTAATACAAAAACTATACTATAAAAGGTCATTATGATGAAAAATTTACCTTTATTTTAAATCTATCTAAAGGCTTTTTTTTTTACATTTTGACCAACTTTTTTAAAATGAATTTATTTATATCATTTTATTCAAGTCTATGACCTTTATGTCAGTTGCATATTAGAGTATAATATGAAAAAAGTACTAAAAATTTCTTTGATGTGTTTTGGTAGCAGAAGTGTCTACCTTCAAACAAGGGAACACCTGCCAAGGTGGTCTTCATTTTTTCAGTGCAATATCCATAAACAAAAGGCACAAGACAGAGAATTAGAGTATAATTGAATGTAACAGACATTATATATTGTTTTGAGTTCAAAACATCATACTTTTGCTAATATAAGTACCAAAATATATGGGGCTTCATTAGATACAAGGGTCACATAGTAGAGAAACTATCTGATAAAATAAACAAATTAAATATGCATTAGGCCTCCACATTAGAAAGTTTAACTGTTATCTTATGTAGGCTATGAAGAAGTAAGACATTTATTTCAAACTTGCTGGTCTGTTGGGAATAATTCATCAGTGTTAGTGTGAGGTGTTCTTTCCTCCCAAATGATGTCACTGAAATGCAAAAGTTTCCTGACAGTTCTATGAAATGGATTGTGGTGTGACTGGTAAGTCTCACAGACTTCCAGCTGAATAGGTACTTACACAATTAGAGGCAGACCACACATGAGTACAAACTTTCATCAGTTTCGTAGATAAAGAACTATGTGACCCAACTATTTGCTGAGCACAGAAGTATTGCAGACATCTTTGGTCAGTTGTCAGGATAGCGCTGCATAGCAATGTGAAAATGTTTTGAACAGTGAAGGGTAGAAGTTTGCACTAATATCATCGTACTGCCAAAGAAGCTTGCACTCAAAATAACGCTGCTCATTTGTCAACACTAAGGGTTAATTGTCAAGGTACATAAAGATATTCTACTTAATCAAAAATTTTTTGATTTCCTCTAAATAAGGACCAATATTTTTTGCATCACACTAAGTACCACATTTCGGTTACCTAGTCAATCAAACAAAAGCTCACCTATATCTTCAAAGTTTGAAATATCAATTATGCTAACCAATTGAATCTGCTTATTTGAAGTAACACCTAGAGAGTTAGTAACATGCATGTGCACATTAATGGCTCTGGGGCTTCCATATTACTCCATGCCTTAAGTCACAAGTGTATTTTTGACCAAAATACATGCATATATATATATTGACATGAAAGATATATGACTAAAATCATAGCTTGATTCTGATTCAACCTCAAAGTTGATTTACACTCAGGAAGTACATATTATAATATCCTTATTCTTGACTGGGAAAACTATGTAATGGGTAGTTAATTAATCATGTTTTGAAACTTGTAAAAACATGGGTCTTTTTTATGTAAACTAGTAATTGTTAAAATTCAACTACAACTCACAGAAATTGAGTGAAATGTCAAATTTATTTTTAACAAAATGTTAGAGAGAATAATTTTTGACAATCAAAATCCTATAATTTTCATTACTATAAAAGTTTGGAAAATGTTTGAATGATTATAGCAGCATACTTTAAAATAACCATTGCACAGTATACAATTATCATTTAACAGAGAAGTCATAACATTTATCCTAAAAATTTCAATTAGATGAAGTCTTACTTACCACAATAGTAGTTATGTATTGAAAACATAAAAACTAGCAAACCCGTGGGCCTATGGCACACATTTATAGGGCTGCTATATTGCAAATTTAATGCTTGAACCATGATTTTGCATTTTTTCAGTTTAATTATCATTGCTGCTATAATGCAAATTTAATTTCTTTAACCAAGTTGCAAATGGTAATTAGCACACTGTAATGTAAATTAATGCCAAATTTGTGGTCAACTTTTGAGGAATTCCTGTAAAAGTGTTTTTATGAAATAACCAGATTCCCTAAGGGGATTGGGTGACAAGTTTTACCTTTGTGCAAACCTTGGGGCCGAGAAAATTCATTTGGTGCCATCTAGAAATTGATGTGATCAGTGGTTTAAGAGCTATGTGACATACAAACACACAGATTATTATTATATAGATGGTTAAAAAAGGTCTAAAATACCTTCTGAATGATAACTTCCTTTTTGAGCACCTTAATGGCATAAAGCAAGTTTGATACCTTCTCCCTACAAAGAATGACTTTACCAAATGTGCCTTTTCCTAAGACCTTGAGGAACTCAAAATTATCAAGTGTCTGAAAAAGAAATAGAATCCTTAAACTTAGCTGTACATATATTAATCTAAAATATAGCTTATGTATTGTAAAAATAAACAACACAGAAGATTGGAAAGCTTCTAAATGAAAGAAAACATCACAAAGCTGCACGAAACTAAAGAATATCTAATATTACTTACAAGTTCAAATATTTCCAGATTATTAATATGTATATTAGTACTGCAGAATGGTTGTGAAAAAACATTTCCTTAACTATATGCTAATTTATTAAATTCATATTTATACATAGCAATTCAGCAACAGGGAAGTGTAAATTATTTGAAATATATATATGTATTATTTTCGATGACGAGTAACCCACTTTGAGACTAATAATGGCTGGAGACGGCTTGAATGGGTAATGAAGAAAAACTTTAATATAAGTTTAACATAACAG